TGAATTAGCCAGCAACTCTCTCCCCGTCCGGAATACTTGAGGTCAATGTCACCTATTTTTTGCAGACTACCAATACTACCGATCGTTACTCTTTACTAATGATATTTATTTTATCTGGCTGTCGGCATGACTAAATCACTTCACGTTCAGTCAAAAAAGCTGCTCCCAAACAGTGTTTGGTGGTGAAGTAAACTCCTGAACAAGTGCTAAGAGAATCGATGGTTAGATGGCAAGATCACATGATCAGACAAATATTTTAAACCAGTGAACCATTTTGAAAGATCTTGGTAATCAATTAATAGATGCAATTGGAACCAGAGCTGAAAAGAGGTAAGGTTTTCCGGTTTTTGTTTACACAACCATTTACCTTGTAATTTCTTGCTCCAGTTTTGGCTACCATGTTGACCCGTTATGAAGGAGTGAATTGAAAGTTTATGACAAAACTGTGGTGACTCACCCTTAGTAAATGTTGGCAGGCTTACTCCGCATTAGATATAGTTGTTTAGATCAGTTTTTTGGACTGGCTCCTTAGAACGAATAAACCCGGGGCATGAAGATCACGGAGGTTCATGGAAGTTTGGTAAGAACAGACATCCTAACTGATTTTCGCTACTTATCCCAATCAACAGATATCTGACTTCATATCGGTGATCAAACGTACCACTTGACTTGCAGCCATTAGCCTTGAATCGAAAGTTTTCGAAGACTTTTCATGATATGCAATTATACTCAACTGTTGCACACAAGATTTCACAATGCCGCTGTATGAATATTTTCAAGCGCGACTGTGCTAATTTACAGCAGATATGATGAAACTGGACGTGTCTCTATTGGTTCAAAAATTCAGTGTCCCGAGTTGCCGTTCATTTCCTAACTACTTCTTTATTGTTTCTATATGGACACTAACGATCAATTACATAGATAAAAACAGTTGCCAGTCAATCAAATACATCCTCTATTAGGTGGTTGGGGTAGGGGAAGGTGAAACAAGAAAACAGTCCGTAAATTTATACGATGGACAAAGCTGAACGATAGGATAAGTCTATTGGTAAATCTCCGTGTGATGCTACCGGTGCGGAGGTTATGCACGCACATTTATAATTAAGGTTGATCCGTAACAAAATCAATAAGTTTCTGACAAAAAGATAGTTGTCTGACTCATTGCACTAAACTAGCAATCTTAATTCGTGCACATACTGTCTCATTCATTTCAAAAGGCCCCAGTGACAGTCACGGACCTTAGGAGTTTTCTAATCATGTGTCAAATCATTTTGATGGTTCATATGTCTCAGTAGAGATGCACTTGTTTTGTCCGATATTGGCAAAATATCTAATTTTTCGTTATGATAGTCACTCCAATTGGTTTTGGTGATATCACAAGCAAATCGACCCATAAATTTGAAGAACAAAAATGGGGCACTCGAAACCGGGCTTACTTCTTGCATGTACTGGGCAACATCATTCGCTTTTTGCTCGTACGACTGAATGAATTCAACCAGTTCACTTTCCCGTTTCTCCAGTGTGGAGTACAACTGGGTGATCTGCTCCAGATATTTGATCCGTTCCTCTTTGAGCGACTGAATTTGAATGGTTTGCTCTGTTTCAAAATGAAAAGTTGGATCATAATATTCCAAGTTGTATCGTTTTACACGTGTGATAGTGCTTTTCTTCACAGGGGGCGGGGCGGAGGTAAATTTATTGTAAACGGGAAAGACAATCAATGCTTTCTTCCTGTTAACCTCTGTGATTTATGGGCCTCAGTCTCCGAAAGCCTCAGTATAGTCGGGAGTGGGTGTCTCGTGTTATGTCACCTCGCCTCTCAAACAGCGTGTGCCTAGGAAGCCCTACTCATTGCCTTCTCTTCCCATCAAAATCCGAGGACCAAAAGCCAACATCCGGGGTTATAACCGGGACAGTGAACCATTGGCAGGGGAGTTGGCTAAACACCCTGATTCCAAACTTACTAAGAAGAGTGTAAGAACGGCACACACCCACACCTTGGCTATGAAAG